ATTACCTACCATTCTTTATTATGATAGCATAAATTTAGCAAAATTTAATATCTGTTATTGATTTCTGGAGTTTACAACGCTCAAATATTTAACACCCTCTTGCGTCGCTGTTGTCGATCACAAATCCGTTAACAAACGTCTGCATAAATTCAAAAAAAAACAAAAGCAAAAAAGTACATACTGGAGTATTGTTGGAGGTGAGACAAGCAGCGATGCCACGTTGCAAAGGTTTTAAGGCCAACATAACTCGGGATGGAGGCTAAAAACAGATATTTGGGCATCTTTCATTAGTCAATTATTTGTTTTACCAAGACGTTAATTAAACAAACCAACAAATCCAACTGGCAAACAACATGAGAGACGTTCGTTTCCTAAAGAAAGCAATTAAAAATATTGACAAGCATAACAAACGAAAGTGATTTTTCTGGCGTCTGATACGACAGGAAAAAAACAGTCAGAGATGTTTACAGAGAAATTTAACTGTAGCTGCTTCGGAGCAGTGAACAGGAACATCTTAGAAACAGTCAGTATTAAAAATCTTTCATCAGTCAGAAGCAGTGAGTCTGGTGCTGAAACCAATAACGCATACCCCTTCACCCAAATGCATGAGCCAGCTTGTCTCGCACTTCTGATCGATTTCTCCATCAAAATCAAAACTGACCCGTGCTTTGCAACACGGCTTAAATTTTTCTCTTGTCTTCCCGTCTTGCCCAGTGTTACCATTTTTTACCATAAGTTGTCGTCTGGCAGGATTTCAACAGGCAACAGACTGCAGAGTGTTTTAAACCAGTTGTACGAGACATCGGGCAGTCCGTTGACCACGAATTCAAATCAACGTAATTGGCTAATCTCTATTTCTCTCAACTGTTTGATTTAACCGCTCGTATTGCACATTTGCATACGAAAAGCAATCTGAAAGTATGCTACAAAAATTTAGCTAAACATCTGAGTTGCAGATATTTTCTTTTAACTTCTTATGATTTAACTACGGCGGTAACATCAGATCATTACGTCAAGGCAGTGATTCCACTGCGGTTCACTGTTTACTTTGTGTAAATGTGTCGATTGTCCATCGGTACATTACACATGAGGCATTAAGCCAAGTCCTTCAAGTCAATTGCCTGCGCTGCACTGCATTCCTTGACTTGACTTATTGAATGTTGCAAGGGAATAACGGAATCCTAATGCATTCATGTCAAAATTTACCATTTTATTCTGTCCTGGGTAATGTCGGATATGACTGCAAGCCACTCACTTGTGCTCGCAGTTTTAACCGGTAGGTGCGGTCCATCTCCACCATGGATGGACCATGTCCATCACACCAGACAATTCGTCCCAGATACTATCAAACCATGAAGTCGTTGGCCTACTTCTCCATCTTTTCCAGCATCGGTTCAGCACACTACGAATCAAGATGCTGATCAGCCGCTTGTAG